GGACAGAGGTAGGAAATTACAAGGCATTATTTAGGGATCCTAGGAGCATCGAGGGTAGAGTAGGAGGTAAGGCTAGACAGGGAGGTTGGGGCCATTGATATCTTCTTCGGGGGCTGCTCTGCAGTGGAGAGATGAAGGAGTCACTGGCTTTTTTTAAGCAAGGGAGTAAGTAGCTAGATCACATGTCTTCAGTAAGAAGCTGCCTCTTGTGGCACTTTAGAAGAAAGACCAGCCGCAAAGAGGCCAGGGAGTGGGCACCTTTAATAATCTAAGTAAAAGGTAACCATGACCTGAATTAAGGAAGCAACCATTAGGAAGGAAAGGAAGGCACAGATAGAAGCAACATTTCAAAGGCTACTGCATGAGTTACATATCTGCTCTGCCCAGGAAAGAGTGGTCATTCTCAGATTCAGAAGTGGAGAATATATCTGTTCAAGAACTTTTAAAATCCTTCTACGTTATTTGAACTGGGAAACTAAAAGAAGGCTGAACATGCTGTAACCATGAACTTCTACAATTTTAGCAGAGCCTTAACTCCCCCCCCCCCCCCCCCAGATGTCAATCGGGAGTGTACTGAGTAACTGCTACATGGGGAAAGAGGATTGAAATGTATCTCAGCAAAGAAATGCATCCATCCCTTCTTTCCCATTGTGCATCCTTTGCCCAGGTGTTATGGTAAATAGCAGGTATCTGGGTAGCTTACAAGTAAGGTTCTTCTGCTTTTCTCCAGTTATCCCTTTACCCACCCTTATTCATATTCCTACTCACTCCACACACCTACACACCCATAGAAATCCAGTGAAAATTTAAGAGATGGAGGAGGCTTTCTAGAGTGCATAAGAATTTTCTAATGTTTGCCTCTTGTTGCTAAAACCGTGCCAGCATCGCCTGAAGAAAAATAAAAAGAGCTGGCATAGACCCATATAAAGGCACTGTATTGTCAAATAGCTTTGAGATAAGTACCCCCAAGCACCTCCCCCCAAAAATCCCAAACAGCTATTTTCTCATTTTCTGGGGATTATTCTAGAGATTTCCTCAAATAGACAAATTTGAACATCTGATCAGCTGCCACTTTCTTTTTATTTTCCTAATTATTTTAGGAAAACTTAAGTGGGTGTTAATACTTACTAACCTCTTTTCTCAATAAGGGCAGGAGCAGACAACAAAACAATCATGAACCTACCAATTAGAAGAGTGTCCTGTGTAATATCTACCGATTTATGGTTAGTTCACCTTGTTTGGAGCATTGAAGGCAGCTTACAATAAAACAATGAGGGTTTTTTCCTTTCATGACTCCCAAGGTGATTCCTGGCACTCTTGAAAGCACAAACGATTAATCAAATCATTGGGGACAAGCAGCAGAATGTGATCGTCAAAACTATGGATATTTGTAATTGTGTTTCGTTCTCATGTAAAGTGTGTGTGTGTGTGTGTGTGTGTGTGTACTGAGAGGTGATCAGTGTGAGAATCAGCATCTTCAACATTGTCCCTGAGAGAAATTATTAACCTAAACATTTTTACATTTTATAAAAATACAGAAACTACGAAAAATATTTAGCAACTCATACTCCAGTCTTAAACTCAAAATCACAGGTTCTTAACTGGGGCCCATAGATTGGATTCAGACCATCTGTAAACATGCTGAAATTGCATGGGAAATTTTGTGTAATTTGTATGGAAAATTTTGTGTGATTTGCAGAGGAGGTGGGCTGGTATTCAAAGATTCTTAAAATTATACTTGACTCCCAAAAAAGTTAAGAACTACTGCCATTAAAGAAAAAGAAGGGAGGGAGAGGGAGAAACAAATGTATATGAAATTTGTACAAGGCACTTATCTGTTAACCTTTATATTTGTATTAAAAGTTAACAATATTTTGATCATCTTCCTTTCAAAAGCCTCTGAGGTTTCAGACTGGTTCAAATTGCATTTTCAGAACCCAGGGTATTGACAAAGATGTAGATGTTAATTATATTCATGGAGACTTTAGAATAAAACATGACAAAAAGTTATTTCTCTAGTATAAATTTGTTCATTTATGGTAAACCCTACAGAAGTGCCTTCAATGAAATGGCTATGTCATTTGCAGCAATATAATCTTGTATTCAAAGGAGCTATTAACAAAGACAAAAGGGTGATAAAAAATAAATTTCTATATTTTCAGAATACTATTGTTTTAGCATATAAAACCCATATAATTCCTATTATGGAATACTTTTCTCACTTAAGAATAGAAACCTTTCAAGTGAAACCCAATTCTTCTCATCATGCTCCCAAAACCCTGCAAAGGGTTTAGAATTAAGATTCACTAATGTCTCTGTGTAATTAATCAGTACACATTTTTATGTATATAGAGGAGTGAACTCCTTTACCCCTTTCTGTGTTACAAAAGGCACAAGCCAACCTCCCTTCATTCCTAATCTTTTCATTTTTTATTCTTAATCCCAAAGAAATGTTGGATTTCTTTGCTGTGTAAATCAAGAACCCTGTCATTCTTTTTTTTTAATCCTGATTTTTATTAGATTCAATAGACATAGAATTACATTTCAAAAATATAATCAGTACATAAAATATAAAATTTTAAAAATTATAACTATTTTTCAATGAAAGAACCCTGTCATTCTTTAAGATTGCTCTCAAAATTTAACTCAGCTTCCATTAAATATGTAAATATGTAAAACTCTTCAGTCCCCAAACATATCATTCATTGCTAAGCTACAAAGGCAGATTATGACAATTTTACAACTTAGCAAGAAAATGAATGTTTTATAAATTGTTATAACTTTTGAATAAAAAGTTACTTATTTTTAAATTTTATTCTTAATGTCAGCATATTTTGAATCAAAATTACTAAGGATTGATGGAATTTCTTCTCTTATGATACTGTTTCCCATCTCAATGCCTCTCAAAGCACATAAAAGCACACTTACCCCATGGTGCTTGCTGTGGTTATATCATCCTTGGATCAAGGCTTATCTGGATTCTGAATTAAAGGTTATAAAAAGAAGCAGTGGAGAGGCTTGACTTCCCGGAAAGGAGACTGTCATATGCTAGCTAGGCTTTTAAATGAGCTAAAACTAGTGTCTCTTCTAATTACATAAGCTCTAGGTCAAATTCTAGCATCAACTAATCAAATAACTGAATGTGTTTAGTTTCAAGGAGTTAAAGAAGGAAAACTTTAAGAGGGATGACTTGGTATCTTAGAATATTGGAAACTTGAGCATTACGAAGTTATTTATATATCAATAAAGTTAAAGATTTTAAAAGCAAAATATGTGTCTTGCCATTTTAAATAATTCAAAGAAAAATATTTGGGAAATTTTAGTTTGTGGTAAAGCAGATATTTTTTATATTTTCCAGAAGTTTTGAATTTGCATTGTATGTCCTGCTCCCAAAAGACATCCTCTTGCCTTATTTAACCTATCCAGTATTTATCTTGTTATAAATTCCAGTACAATAATATTTAATTCTAAAAGAATACCAGTTAATGCTAAGCAACAAATCAAAAAATGTCTAATTTTTAAACTGTATCTTTGAACACTAATAAATAGGGTCTTTTGAAATTAAATATAAAGCTATTATTATAAAAACTAACAAAAATACCATTTTTATTTCAATATTGTAAAATATATTTCTTTTAAATTTTTTTAAATTTGAGAGAGAGAGATACATCAATTTGTTGTTCCACTTATTTATGCATTCATTGGTTGATTCTTATGTGTGCCCTGGCCAGGGATGGAACCTGCAACCTTGGTGTATTGGGATGATACTCTAACCAATTGAGCTACCCAGCTAGGGCTTAAAATACATTCAAGACAGATTGATAGTTCAACCAAAAAATTTTTTGGCAATAATATATTGAGAAATAGATATTTTAATAAGATTTTGAAGAAATGTGATACAGAAGTTATCTATTGCATGCACTATTTTTTGTCAGTTCCAGAATAATAGTTTCGGCAAAAAGCACTCAGGTCTTTATTGTAACTTTTAATATGTATCTGTCATGTTCTGGTAACTGAAAACAATTTTATATAGAAGGTGAAGAAGCTTTCTAGCCATAGAATATGTGAGGACACAAAGATCTATTTTTTAGAAAATTGAGCTATAATTCACATACCATATGCAAAATTTTCCCTTTTAATGTGAACAATTCAGTGGTTTAGTATTCATAAGGTTGCACAACTATGACCACTAATTCTAGAACATTTTTATCACCCAAAAAAGAAACCCATTCCTCCCAATTCCTCCCTCCCCTGGCAGCCACTAATCTAGACATTTCACATAACAGCCATACAATATGTGGCCTTTTGTGACTGGATTCTTTCACATAGTACAATATTTTCAAGGTTCATTCATGTTGTAGCTTGTATCAGTACTTCATCCCTTTTTAAGGCTGAATAATATTCCATTGTATGGAGATACCATCTTTGTTTATTCATTTATCAGTTGGTGGACATTTGGGTTGTTTCCAGTATTGGGCTGTTATGAATAATGCTGCTATGGATATTCCTGCACAAATCATTTCTGTTGGGTACATACTTAGGAACTGCTGGTTCACATGATAACTACATGTCTAACTTCTTGAGAAATTGTTTTCCACAGCAGCTGTACCATTTTACATTCCCACTAGCAATGTTTGAGGTTTCCAATTCCTCCACATCCTTGCTAACTTTTATTATCTTTTTAAATATAGCCAATCTAGTGATTAAGTTGTATCTTATTGTGGGTTTAATTTATATTTCTCTAAAAAGTTATGATGTTAAGCTTTCTTTTCATTTGCTTACTAGACATGTTTTCTTTCTTTGAAGAAATGTCTATTCAAATTCCTAGCCCCAGTTTTTAATTGGTTTGTCTTTTTATTTATATACTAGAGGCCCAGTGCATGAAATTCATGCACTGGCAGTGTCCCTAGCGGCTGCCGGCCGCCAGCCGGGTAGTCCCTCCCTTCCCCCCGGCTGGCCCACCCCCTGGTCGAACTCCTGGAAGAAATCCAGTCGAGGGGACAATTTGCATACTATGTTTTTATTATATAGGCTATTTATATGAGTGAGTTCTTTAATATTCTGGAAACCAAACCTTTACCAGATATGTGATTTCCAAATATTTTCTACCATTCTGTGAATTGTCTTTTCATTTTCTAGATAATTTCCTTTAATTCAGACATACTTTTTAAAGATGACAAAATTCAGGCACAGGATTGGACATTGACTTTGCCAAGATTTGGTTTTGCTGTGTTTATTAAAATGAGAACACTCTGAACTGAATCACATAATTTGAACTAATTATAAGATAATGAAAGTAAAGTTAATAAAAAAGGCATAAGTGAATGACGATTTTAATGGCAATATTATAATATAGAGGTAGTGTATGAAGTTATTTCATATGACAGATTTGGTTTCCTTACAACTAAATCTTCAATTACTACATTAAACTTTAATGCAGAAAATCTACATGTGAAGCTTTAGTCTCAGGCCTGGAGCAGCTGTGAAATGAAAGGTACCACACCATTCTAGTCCTTGGATATCAGTATATTGTCCTTCACCTTCCACCCTGTAATAGTAAAAAATAAGTTTGTTCATTAATCAAGACTAAGAATTTACAGTCCAGATTTAAAACTATCTAGACCAGCGGTTCTCAACCTGTGGGTCGCGACCCCTTTGGCAGTCAAACGACCCTTTCACAGGGGTCGCCTAAGACCATCCTGCATATCAGATATTTACATTATGATTCATAACAGTAGCAACATTACAGTTATGAAGTAGCAACGAAAATAATTTTATGGTTGGGTCACAACATGAGGAACTGTATTTAAAGGGCCAGAAGGTTGAGAACCACTGATCTAGACTGTGACATCTTACCTAATAATAGACAAACATGTAAATTGACTGTCCCTTCGCTACGCTCACCAGCCAATCAGGAGAGTATGCAAATTAACCCAACAAAGATGGCGGTTAATTTGCATACGTAGCGGCAGAGCGAAGACTGAAGGCTCCGGATGGAGCAGCGACTGGCTGGAGCAAAGGCCTGAGTCCCAGGTGCCGGAGGTAAACTGGTGCCGGCAGCCAGGGGAAGGGAAGACCTATTGCAGGAATCTCTTCATGCAACGGGCCTCTAGTATTATATACTATGTCTGAAGAATTATAGCTTTCCATTTTGAGACTTTGATTTAAAACCCAGCATCCTGTTTTCATATCCTACAAAAAAAAACAACAACTATTAACCCTTTTCGGTCCAACGTTGAGGCTGACTCGACAGACCAGGTGCTAGTAGCAGGTCCAATGTCGAGGCTGACTCGACAGACCAGGCGCTAGGAGCAGGTCCAACGTCAAGGCTGAGGTCGACACCGCAAACCGGTTCAACATTCAATCCCGTCAATTAATTTGGACCAGACTGTTTGAATTCCAAAAATAAAATTGGACCGCAAAGGGTTAATATTATTTCGAATAAATAGTCATTATACAAATTTTGGTATACAAGATTCTAGGACAGTGATGGCGAACCTTTTGAGCTCGGTGTGTCAGCATTTTTAAAAACCCTAACTTAACTCTGGTGCCATATCACATATAGAAATTTTTTGATATTTGCAACCATAGTAAAACAAAGATTTATATTTTTGATATTTATTTTATATATTTAAATGCCATTTAACAAAGAAAAATCAACCAAAAAAATGAGTTCACGTGTCACCTCTGACACACGTGTCATAGGTTCGCCATCACTGTTCTAGGATATGCTAAGTTTACATAAAAACCCAAACAATCAGTTAAAAAATGAAAAGTTTATACTAGGTCATTTATTTACTCAACAAACATTTACTGACTGTCAACTATGTTTGGAGTGCTGTGTTCCGTGCTGGTGTGTCCTTGGACCCTCTGGAGTGATAAAAATGCACTTCACTTACACAAACAGACCTTTATCCCATGGTTAGGTTTTTCTCCCTTTATTTATTTTTTTAATATGTTTTTATTGATTTTAGAGAGAAGAAGGGAGAGGGATATGGAAACATTGATGAGAAAGAAACATTGATCGACTGCTCAAGCCCGCAACCGGGGCATGTGCCGTGACTGGGAATTGAACCTCTGGTTCATAGGTCAATGCTCAACCACTAAGCCACACTGGCTGGGCTGAATGATTTTCTTTTGAAGGCTCATGATGGTCTTAGCATCTCATAAGATTTTTTTCTCCTAAAAAAATAACCCAACATTTCTTACTAAATGTTATATATTCTAACAAAATATATTACAAAAGAATATTTAACATTAACTAAATAAAATACTTAAGCAAACATGCCTGAAAAGAATCTTTTAGAACTATAGTGACCTTTTATTTTAAGCTTACCTATTTTCATTGAAATTTCCAGTGTACTTTGCCCCAGATGGGAATATATAAGTCCCCAGTCCATGAAACATATTGTCCTTAAAGTATCCTTCATAGACTGCTCCTGAAAAATGTTCAAGTCTTCCAAAACCGTTCATCTGTTTGTAACAAAGGAAATAACTCAGTAGCTAACCTTCAGTTTCCCTAGAATACTTTGAAAATGTACACATATGTCTATCATCCACTTATTATTTAATCTATCATTATATTACCCTTTATTTCTATGAGGCCCCTCCTCCCTCCATCTCACCACCAAGTCAAATGTTCCTGGTCTGGGGCATTTGAACATCATGGTTGGAACACCATGATGATGATAATAGGGGTCCTTGAGATACCTTGAGTTATCAAAAATCTTAAAGGGCAACTGGTTTAGTTACCTAGGAAACAGTACAAAAGTTGTGAAGAACAAAAATTATATTCAAGCAGACTTGGGTACACATTCTTGTTTCATCACTTATTAGGTATAAGAAATCTGAACTTGATTTACCTCATTTGTAAAGTAGGAGTGCTAATGATTGCTTTGAGGATTAAATGAGAAAATTTTGTAATGAGTTTAGTTTTACTCAATGAATAGAAGATGAGAAAGATGATAACTAGCTCTCTGCTTAAGTTTAATATTACTCATATATTCATATATATTAAATACTAGAGGCCCGGTACACGAATTCGTGCACCGGTGGGGGCCCTCGGCCTGGCCTGTGGGGATTGGGCCAAAACTGGCAGTCCAACATCCCCCGAGTGGTCCCGGATTGCAAGAGGGCACAGGCCAGGCCAAGGGATCCCACCAGTGCACGAATCTGGGCACCGGGCCTTTAGTATGCATATAAGATCTTTGGTTAATCTCTTCTCCCCCTCCTCCCTACCCCTTTCCCTCTGAGATTCATCAGTCTGTTCCATGTTTCCATGCCAGTGCATTGAGTGTCTGCCCCTTGGTGGTCAGTGCACATCATAGCTACCGGTCAAATGGTCAAACGGTCGGACACTTAGCATATTAGCCTTTTATATATATAGATAACTATTTGGTTTTTTGTTGTATAGTCTACTATACAACAAAGTGTTTTTGATTAATGGAGAAATACCTGGAGTCACTTACTAGGTTTACTTATCTATCCACTGTCAGTATTCAAACCAACAATAATACCTTGTCATCTTTCCAGTTTCCTGTGTAGATAATCCCATCAGGAGTGGTATGAACACCTATTCCATTTCTCTCGACAATTCCAAAAGGTGTTCTTGTACAATCACCATCTAAACAAGAGAGAAATACTGAATATTATAAATGGGAACCCTGTTTGACTAGTTAATAAAGTATTTATAGCCCCAGCCAGCTTGGCTCAGTGGATAGAGCATCAGCCTGTGGACTGAAGGGTTCTGGGTTCGATTCCAGGCAAGGGCATGTACCTCGGTTGCAGGCTCCAGGGCAAGTGCAGGAGGCAACCAATCAATGTTTCTCTCACATTGGTATTTCTGTCTTTCCCTCTCTCTTCTACTCTCTCTAAAAATCAGTGGAAAAATACCTGCTGGTGAGGATTAAAAAAAATGTTCAAAAACAAACAGATAAATAATAATTTTTTTAAAGTATTTATATTTAGGCCTAATCACAACTGCACATATGGGTCTCTTTGGCTCCCTAGCACTGAAACAAATGAGACCAGAGATAAGGAGCTTACAAGGACATAGTCATTAAGACCCAATGACCAGGAAGACAGACAGATCCCATAGGTTACCAAGGCATACTGCCTAGACTTAATGTTAGAATCCAGATTTAAAATCTTTTCATCTACATTACTTTATTGAATTGAGTTAACATTCCAATAGTAGTTTTATAAAATGTGAGTCTCATTTTTTCACTCTTAAGCTATTTCATTTAAGTCTGTATAGAAAAAGTAATTGAAATGTATGCTTACCATACTTGTCTCCATTTGGAAATATAAAGTTTATCTTATATACTTCTTCAGCTGTTTTAAAAGATTTAGGAAAAGTCACATAAACTTAAATATTTTTTATGTCATAATACCTATAACAAATGCACTTTAAGAGCTAACCAAATAGATTCACTTCATATGATCACAAGCATGTCATGATTACTTGACATTCCATTATCCGGTGTAGGGTCCTGGGGAAATAATTTTGTCTAGATGATCTATTTTTACTTATTTGTTCGTTATAACAGCTTTATTAAAATATAATTTACAAAACACAAAACATACCCTTTTACACAATTCAATAGTTAGAATATTCAGAGTTGTGTAGCTATTACAATCTAACTTTAGAATATTTTAATCACCCCAAAAAGAATCATTTACCCATTCTCAGCTATTTTCCATTCCCTTAATTCCCCACTCCCACACAACCCCACCCCCACCCCCACCCCCTGGCAACCAATAATCTACTTTCTGTATGGATTTTCGTATTGTGGACATTTCATATATATATGAGATCATACAATATGTAGTCCTTAGCATAATGTTTCCAAGGTTCAACCATGATACAGCATGCATTAGGACTTCATCTCTTTTTATTGCTGAATAATAGTCCCTGTACAGAAAGAACAGATTCTGTTTATCATTCATCAGTTAATGGACAGCTGGGCTGTTTCCAGTTTGGGCAGCTATCAATAATGCTGCTATGGAGAGTCATGTAAGTTTTTATAGGGACATACGTTTTTATTTTTCTTGGTTAGCCTATATGACCTATTGATTGTCTCAGAGGTAAGGTAAAGTAAGGAATCTCTGACTTGGCAGAAGGAGGAAAAAGAAAATAAAGATAGTAAATGAGGAGGGGTGAGTGTGGGGGTGAGCAAAAAGAGTAAGATTGGAATGGAGACCAGTAAAAAAGGAAGGAAGAAACCATGGGCTGGGGTGAACCTATCAGAGCACTGGGACATGTAGTGGTCTAAAACATTAAAAACTTAAGAAAGCATATGTGAAAATAAATAAACTCAAACTTCTAGGACAATAGAGTCTACTAGGATGTTACCCAAAGTATGGACCATGCAAGTTCCTAGGCTCTACCCTATGTTACTGAATCAGAATCTCTATGGGTGAGGCAAGAGAACTGATATTTTTAATTTAAAAATTAATTTAGGTGCCAGTTGAGAAAAGCTAGAGGCTCATACCCTCTGAAGAAACAGAGTTAATAACACAATAGGTAGAAGAGTTTAAAATACTGTAACATCCTTGAGACAGGAGCTGGTGGTTATGAAAAACAACAAATTAGCGGTCGAGAAAATAAATAATTGATGGAATAAAACTCCTTCGAAGGGCTGAATAGCAAAGATACAATTGAAAAGTAAATTAGTGAACTGGAATACAAGGTTGAAAATTTTCCCCAGAAAGAGGAACAAAGAAAAACAGCAAAACCTTTCTTACCTCCCCTCACCCCCCCCCATTCCTCTAGGAGCCCCCACAACACTCTGGGCCTAGCCCGCCCATAGCACGTAGGGCCCTATTAAAGCAACGCTTTTGTGCCAGAATCCCCACCACTACAGCAGGTCGTTTAGGTCAGGGATCACGGATTAGTCACATTTCTGTTCTCGCCCTCGTGTCCAGCTCAGTTATTAGCACTTACTAGCAGGAACTGCAGTGAATGAATGGCACTTGGAAAGCAATCGTTAAATACAGAGCATTTAAATTGATCATACGAGAAACCGACCTGTTTTCAATTGCTCTTAAATGGCTCCACATTCGAAACCTTGGAATGTTAGAGCTAAGAGAAGGACCTAAGAGATGGAGGTCGTCCGGCAGCGCAGAGGAAACTGAAACCCGGAGAGGTCGGCACAACAGCAAACCCACCGCCGAATCAGAACTGGAATCCCTGTCTCCTGACTCTCAGGCCAGGTGCCCTCCGCGCCCCGCCCCCGCCCCCGCCCCAGGGTGGACGCTCAGGAAAGGTATCACACCGGTAGCGGGGTTACCAGGGGCTGAGCTCTGGACCAAGGCGAGTTCTAATTTAAGGCGCCCTTCCCGGCTCGGGGCGTCGGGACGGGGGCCACTCACTTGGCAGAGAGGTGCTGGAGACATTTTCTGGACTCTGCGATTCCCGCTGAGTCGCCAGCTCCGTGGCGCAGAGGGAACCTAGCGCGGAGGGCGACTCGGTTGCCGGGGCGACCAAGCACCTCTCACCCGGAAGCGAAAGTGCGAGGGGCCGAGTCTGAGCCAATCAGAAGGCGCCAGGGCTGTGCCGCCGCAACTGGGCCCGCGGCCGAGCAGCTCCAGGTGAGACCTGCGAGGGTGGCGGGACCCGGCGGGACTCCTCGGCCCTGAGCGCTCTCTCCTGACCGCCGCCCGGGCAGCGGCGCTGCGAGCCGGCTGCGGCGCCCCCTCCGCGGCCGAGGGGTGTGTCCGCGTGCGCGGTCTGCGCGTCGTCCGGGTTGTCAGTGTGCAGACCCTTCTACCGCCTTCCTCTCCCGAAGCGGTCGGTGCTGAGGATCCCGCTGTTTGGCAGGACCCCAGGCCCTGGGGCCGGGCCAGGTGGGGGTTGGCAGCCGAGCTGGCCCCGCCTGCGGGAGCGCTGCGTTCGGGCTCGGAGGGTAAAGGGATGGATTGGAGGGGCCAGGTTTCATTTCCTGTCGTCTCCATCTCGAACCAAATGGCTGTTTGGGGGGCGTTGCATGCTCGGGGAGAGGTGCCAGGTGTGGGTGTCTGCACGGAGCTGGCTGTGAGGGGTCAGTCGGCGATCTGCCTGGAAGGGGAGAGGTGTGTGTCAGTGTTGAGTGCCCAGCTTAGTGGTTCTGTGCCCGGGAACCAAACTTGGGCGTGAAACAAAGGGTACTCTTGGAACCAAACTTAGGCCCCTGTGTCCACGGTGAAAAAAGATCGCTGAAATCAGCCTCTGCAACCTGGGATAGAACAGTGGAATCTGTCTGTATGGATTATGCGACATGATTCCTGTTCCCTGGAAAACGGCTGGAGAGAGTCATAGTGGATACAGCCCGCAAGTCTAAATGTAGAGTTTGAGCGCAGATCTCAGATCGAGTTGTAAAGGTAATACTTTCGGGGCTGGTGTGAGACAAGTTGTGGATCACTCTTTAGGCAAGCTTGCTATGGCTTGGTCTGGGTGGCTAGCCACTCTTCTTTATTTATGTATTTATTTATGTTTTATTGATTTATTTGAGAGAGAGAGAGAGAGAGAGAAACTGATTTGTTCCACTTATGTATGCATTCATTGGTGGGTTGTTGTATGTTCCCTTGATACCATTGTAACTAGCTAGTTATTAATGATAGAAAGGAGCATGGGAAGGCCAGATATTACAGGCTTGTCATTTGGGCAGCTTCACCAGGAAGCTGCAGCTTTACACTCCCCAGGGCTCCAGCAAAGGAAGATAGATGTAGTAGGCCCCGTAAGGTTGGAGGGGGCTAGGGAAGGTGCTGGCTGTCAGTAATGCCTGGGGACAGAAATGGTTGTCCAGAATGGGTGTGGCAATGCATGGGCCCTAGGGTTTGGAATGCCTAGTTCCCTAAACAGAGAAGTTCTATTTCTTGCTTCTCTTGGGACTCCTGTGACTCTGGGCTTTCGGGGCTCTTTTGCTCCTGCTCCCCTGCTTTCGCCCACTGAATGACTGCAGTAATTACCTAACTGGCCTCCTGGTTTCTCCTCCTCACTACCACCATCCAGCCCTTTTATTCTTCACATCGCACTAAAGTAATTGTTTTAACACATAAGTCAGTCCTATCCAGCTTTTTCCTCAATGGAAAAATATCCTCAGGTGAGGATTAACAACAACTCAAAAATAAATAACAAAAATAAAAGCAGTGTTTCCAGATCCGCTTTAAAAAATAGGCTATATCCATAACTTTGAAAACAAAGAATTATTATACTTGTCTGGTGTCATGAGGTCTGTGTTCCTTTTTTCTCTTGCAGGTGAAAATGAGTTCTTCAGTAAGAAGAAAAGGCAAGCCAGGCAAAGGAAGTGGGAAAGGGTCTTCCAGAGGAGGAAGAGGAGGCAGGAGTAACGCTAGTAAATCTCACGGTGGTGGCGGCAGTGGTGGCAATAGAAAGGCCTCAAGTAGAACTTGGGATGATGGCGATGACTTTTGTATCTTCAGTGAATCAAGGTCCTCAACCAGGTATTATGCTCTCTGAATGTTCAGATATGGAAACAGTGTCAATTCCTAATGTATGGGACAATAGTTGCTCAGAGAAGGGGGAAGAAAAGCCAAGTAATTCTGCTCAAGTTCATTGTTCCTCTTATTTTAAAACTTTGCAGTTCCCCTCTTTATAATATAGTCTGAATGTATGATGGCAAATAACAGCTTTTTCTTTTTGGAAGTTCAAAATGTGAAATTAACTTGAACTTCCACATGATGCTGTGAATTGAGTGTAATATCATTGTAACCAATGTTATGAGGAAAGTAAATATTGGAAATGGGAAAAGTGATGAAAATTATTTTAAGTATTTCTTAGGCTGTATAGTTTGAAGGTTCCAGTATGTGACCTGGTTGGACTCTGTCTTTCTAATTGATGAATGATCTGTTTTCCAACCAGATTGACCAGATCTTCACCGGTGCTTCACCTGATAACCAACAATATCCGGGCTTCTCTCATAGTCAACTTTTAAGTAATGAATAAATTCTGATAACTAATGAATATTTAATGAAAGTAAAGATGTATTACTGCATACTGTACAATATGTATGTAAAATTGTAATTGTCTCTCAAACTGCACTATGAGCTTTCTATGGGAATTCTTAGAGATGGAGAGATTTCTTTAAAGCTACATACACACACACACTCTTCTGAGAATAACTCTCAACTAAATATCTTTAGAAGGAATATAGGTGAGTGCTAGAGTTTAACTGTATCATACATGCCTTTAACTTAAATGAATTCAGCTATATGCATTCAGGAAAAAAAGGAAAACAGCATTTAAGTAGTTTAAACTAGCCACTAAGTGAATCTGAGTCCCATAGTGAGCAAATGGAGAAGAATCTGCTATTCCCTCAGTCGGTCTCAGTTTGCAAGTACTTGTTGGAGTTTAAGCCTCTGATGTACTGAGTATATGATGTTAGGGTTTAAAAATAGGTTTTTCTCACATAGTGCCTAGTACAACCAAATACTTCATCTGGTATTCAAATTGTCATTTTGGACATAATGAGAAATAATGTAGCAGTCTCAAACTTGACACCATTTTAAGGACTTTTCCAAAGTAATTTAAACTATATTTTCACCATAGCTTTTGACTTAAGAGCCCAATTTCTGAGTTCAATGCAACGCCATTCTTTTTGAAAACAGATATCACAGGTTCTTGCAGTCTTAGATGTTCATTCAGGCAGCAAATGTTAACAGTGCCTACTATGCACCAGGTACTGTTCAGGGACTAGAATTACAGCAATGAGTAAAATATTAAAATAATATCCTTGTCTTCATAGAAGGAGATTTGAGGTATAAAGACCATAAACAAATATGTACTGTTTCAGGTGGTACATGCTATGAAGAAAAATGAAGGATAGAGGTGATAGAAAATACCAAAATAGATTGCTGATATTTTCAGTAGTTGAAGTCTCTGTAATATGTTGCATTCAAATACAGAGAACGTTTCTTCCACTTCCCTAGATTTTTGAAAATGTATAATGAAACATGCCCACCCCTCTAAAAAAAGAAAAGAAATTTAGTGAATAAAGTTAAACCTTAGAACTTATGATTTAAACATTAAAAAGAGTCCTTTAAAAAATCTAAATTCCAACAATGAAGATTGGTGAAATAAATTCTAGTACATCTATATAAGTAATCACTTAAAATTATGTTGTAGGAGAATTTTTTTTATTTAAATTCTTTATTGTTTAAAGTTTTACACGAGTCTCCTTTTTCCCCCCGTTGACCTCTCCCCGGGGGCTCCCACCCCCCAGCACATGCCTCACCCCCCTGCTGTCTGTGTCCATTGGTTATGCTCATATGCATGCATACAAGTCCTTTGGTTGACCTCTTATCCCTCACCTCCCACCCCCCGCCTTCCCTCATAGGTTGGGCAGTCTGTTCGATGTTTCTATATCTCTGGTTCTATTTTTGTTCATCAGTTTATGTCAGGGGTCCTCAAATTACGGCCCACAGGCCACATGCAAATACAAATACTGTATTTGTTCCCATTTTGTTTTTTTACTTCAAAATAAGGTATGTGCAGTGTGCATAGGAATTTGTTCATAGTTTTTTTTTAAACTATAGTCCGGCCCTCCAACGGTCTGAGGGACAGTGAACTGGCCCCCTGTTTAAAAAGTTTGAGGACCCCTGGTTTATGTTGTTCATTATATTCCACAAATGAGTGAGATCATATGATATTTATCTTTCTCTGACTGGCTTATTTCGCTTAGCATAATGCTCTCCATATCCATTCATGCTGTTGCAAATGGTAAGAATTCCTTCTTTTTTACAGCAGCATAGTATTCCATTATGTAAATGTACCAGTTTTTTAATCCACTCATCTGTTAATGGGCACTTAGGCTGTTTCCAAATCTTAGCTATTGTAAATTGTGCTGCTATGAACATGGGGGTGCATATATTCTTTCTGATTGGTGTTTCTTGTAGGAGAATATTTAATTTTAGGGAAATGTCACCTTAAATTTAATAAGGAAATAAAGCAAATTATAAAAAATTATCTATGCTGTACAATTTTTAAAAGATGTATATGAAAAAGATAATGTTAATTAGGGTAACCTCTGTTTTCTTTTTTGTTCTTTAGTTTTCTACAGTGAACATGTATTTTTTATAATCAGGAAATAATGATAATTTAGGTAAATATTTCAAAAGTAGGCCAAGTATTAACTCATGAGTGTTGACAACTAAATGGAACTCTCTTTTTTTTTTTAGATTGGCTACCTAACATAGAATACAATAAACA